CCTTAGCTTCTGGTTCATCTAATGTATCCAAACTCTCACAAAGTGTGGCTATAATAGATTCATATCTGAAAAGAAAGATTTGGATTAAAAATAAAAAGTTGTATTTTGGAATACAACAAAGGTTCTAGAAACTTACGTGTTGGGGTATCTTCTGAAAATGTCTTTGATGACTATAATGGCTTCTTGAACAACATAGTTGACTTTGATTTTGATAAGTTCTAGAAGAACACTAATGCAACGTTCGGCTGCTCTTTCTAATTTTATAGCACATCGACCAATAGCACGAACAGCTTTTCTCACAAAATCTACATCTACTTCTGTTGCATATTCTTTAAATTCCAATAATACCTGACAATTTTTTATTGGAATGTAAGGATAAAATGGTCATTTGGTCAAATAAAGGAAACAATACAAACCCTAATTACCTGATCTATGTTTCTATCTGAAGCAAGCTTTATCATGATCTCTAACTTTTCCATCTTCACATAGATTGGATCATTGTACTTGCAAAAGAACACCTGGAAATAGGTAGTTAAGATTTTATACTCTTTTTCAGACAAAATGATATTAAAAAAAAAAAAAAAAAAAAAAAAAAAAAACAATATACCTTAATTTCATGGGCAAGGATTGTAGGGCGCTTCTGTACAATAAGGTTAATGTTCCTTAATGCAACATATTGAATCTCAGGTTCTGCAGAAAGTAATGTTACAAGTGGAGGAGCCATTTTCTTGCACAAATTTCGTACCACATCAGGACTAGTGATGAGTTCCATTTGTTGAAGAATCATCTACAAAGTCAATAATAATCAGAAATATAAGAAAAGATAAATTAAGTAAAAGATCAATACAACACACCTTAACAGCTGAAAGAACTACAGCACAATTTGCATGTTGCAGTCTTGGAGTAACTCTCTCTACTATATTTTCAGCTTCACGAGCATCATCTGCCTTGTATTTTGAAAGAGCATCCAATATAAAAACTTGACCCCATCTGAATAATGTCAAAAATGACTTTAATACCATAAATTAGTAGATAAATAGTAAACGACTTTTAATAGGCTAATAGCATACTCACTCAGTGCATTCGTTTAGAGCTGTAAGGAGCTTTGACAAGGTCTGACTAGTGATCTCAAAAATGGGTGTACTGCTGTTATCTTGAATTTCAGCAAGAGCTGCAACAGCATTTGCTACTACCATAGGGTTATTGTCAGATATGAGATCTTTTAGGGCATCAAGAAAACCTCTATCTTCAACTAACTCAGCATTGATGTCATAAAGTTTAGCAACACATATAGCTGCTGTTTTTTCGAACATATGGGTCATCATCCTGTTGAAGACAATTTTAAATCATCTTAATATATTTTTAGTTGATTGATCACTGAACATCAAAGCATGAAATACAGACGATGTTAACCTTGAGACACCTCTGGAGGGGGTCACAAAGATATTCTGTGATTTTATCAACTCGGATGCATCCCATTGTTCGAACAGCTAAAGCCCGGATTAAAGGATTTGGGTCTTGTGTATCCTGTTACATGTAAAAAATAATCAGTGTCTTTAATGGGGAACAATTATGTGGATGTGAAAAGTGAGTTTATACTAGTTTATACCTTCACGAAGGTATTAACTGCAAGTATTGCTAGGTCAGGTTGACTTTTAGCATAATTGATGAGATACAAGTATACAAGCTTTTTGAGCTCCAAATTTTCAGTCTGCATACAGTTCAAGACATCTGTGAAAAGTGATGATACATCCTTCCCAACTGTCATAGCTGCAATTGTCTTTTTAACAGCATCTTTTCTCTTATCCTGAAATGCAGAAAAAGATTTTCATCAAATCGACGAGCTGACAGTAATGCAAATTAGCCATCATTATGTGCTCTCAGATCACAAAAAAGTAAAACACTCAAAGATTGAAACTAAAAGAATTTGTAAAATGCAAGGGCTGCATTGTCCAGCTTCTGTGTAGTTCAGTAGTTACTGCCACCTGTAAGTATTCACCGGGAAAGTTCATGGTTTTCCAGACCAGTAGCCTTGAACGCTCAAACTAAAACTAAAGCTCATCATGACTGATTAATTCATTACTCCATGTATATATTTTTCAGTTTTCAGGAGAACAGAATATCGGAGCTTCAGAGAAGGAACCTAATCACAACCACTTAAGACTATAACAAATTTGCAGGGTAATTCAAAATCCTACTACATGTAAATTCATGCTCCCAATCAACAAACTACAACGATCTCATCGATGAAACCATTTGATACGATAATAGATCTGATAATATAGTTACGCAAATCTAATTATTAAATGACTAGATCAATACAACCAATTACAATAACCTCATATAGATCTATAGGTACATATTACTGTGTATAAATGAAAGAGAAAAAAGTAGAACCTTATACTGAGAATTGAGCTCCTCTTTCAGCTCAGGGATTTCTCCTTTCTTAGTTGTGGAGAAGTATTTTGAATCATGGCCGCTCATATCTGGTGGCGAACTGGCGATCGGAGCCGACAGCGACTTCAGGGGGCAGAAGACGGTTTTCAGCAGAGGATTGGGGGAAATAGCGAGCGAGATTTGATGAAATGCAAACGGGTTTAAAGCGAACCCGGTTGTAGCCTTTACTTGTCAAACGTGTTTCAACTTTCAAGAGGATCACTGGATCAGGGACCAAGAATGTAATTTACTCTATTTAAATAAAAAAAATGAAAATTAAGACGATGATATTGAATCATATATAGGAAGGGTTGTATCTTGTATAATATATGTACGTGTGTTATGATGACCCATTTTAGAAGCACAGGTTAGATGAATATTATAGTAATTGTTATCTTTACATGCTTGCTCCAAGAGCTAAAAAATACATAAGTAGGATTCAAGTACAAATTTGGATCCACTTTTCTTGTTTTTGAGTTCGAGAAGTGATTTTTCTTTTCCATGTTGGTCATATAGAACGTACATAAATCATAGTGTACCCGATCATTGATCATATACGAAAATGAAAACAAAAATATGCGAGTAGAAAATTTAATATATGAAAACGAAAATTTATCAATGGAGAAAGCATGGTATCATGTAGCCAATCTCAACACATTACTCACTAATAGATGAAAACAAGTTAGACTAGTAAGAGATATATCTAGTCATTCCTTATCAAAAATATCTTATGTCATTTTCCATAAATAAGACGTATAAATCAATATATAAATAAAGGATAATGACTTAAAAGGGTAACATATTCTTTGATTTGTACACATTAAGTCATTGAATTTTTTTTTGTCCATATTTTCCCATTGAACTTGTTGAACTGTTCAAAAAACATCTTTATGACATGCTATTGGGAGGTTTAGCCGGTTTCCGGCGTATTTGACGGCTCCGGTCATCTTCTCCGACGTTCCTGATTTTTCCGGCGAACTCAAAAACTCCAACATTCATGATTTCCATCAGATCACTGTTCATCGTCTTCAACCTCCAGCCATAGTGTTCTTAAGCAAACCTGAAACAATTTCTTGAGCCTAGGATCGTGTTCTGATCTAACCCACATATACACACACTTAAATCTGATAAATCATTTATAGAAAATCTGTCAAAAAACGAAATCATACACACATCCAGATCTGGGTTCGTGTTCTGAACAAACACATACACTCAAATATAAAGAAGCTCTCAAGAACACGATGAACAACCCTGATGAACTAGATAAAGATATGAAACACAATATGAACAAATCCATCCGAAAAACTCTAGATTTCGAGTTTATTTTAGAAGAATCCATCTGGAAAAGATTTCCAACACACACCTGCTTGTTTTTTTAGATCCGACATACACTCCATGGATGAAATCGATTTGAAGGTCAGATCTGGAAAATGGCTTTGAAGCTACATCGTGTTTTGAAATCTGAGTGTTGTTCCATATATGATGTTCATCATCTTCAAACTCCAACCCATATCTGATGTTTATTGTCTTCAACCCAGATCTGATGCTCGAAGCTTCCCTTGAAAACCTTCAAACATGGTGTGTTCATCGATTTTCAGTAAGGTGTTCGTCTTCATCATGTTCATCTTCTTCCTAAAAAAAAGAGCTCCAGAAGTGTTCAGATCTGAAATCAAATGATGTTTAAGGTTTGTAGCGATTTTTAGATCTCTTCATTCGAGTTTAAACCCAAATCTCTTCATTCGATTTTCAGATCTCCAAACATCTTCGTTTGATTTTCTGATCAAAAAACCTCTTTGTTCTCGTTTCGATTTATGAACCCAAAACTCGAATCTAAAACACACACACACACACACACACACACACATTAACTTAAATCTGAAATCGAGTTCAAGAAATCGAGCTTTGGGATTTCTAATAGTGCTAGATCTGGGTTTCTATGGTTTTCGTGTTCAACTTCACAGTCCCTTCATCTTCATAACCCTCTTCTTTTGAAATCGAAATATGAATTCTTGGGTTCTTGTAACCAAGAACACCAGATCTGCTATGGTCTTTTTCTTTCTTAAAAACCGACGAATTTGGAACCTTTCAAACTTGTTGGTTTCTGGAGATGACAAAGTTGTCGGAAAAATTAATGTTTGGCCGGAGAAGATGACCGGAGACTCGCCGGAACTCACAAGAACGCCGGAAAACCGGCTAAACCTCCTATAGCAAGTCAGAAGGATGTTTTTTGAACAGTTCAACAAGTTCAATGGTAAAATATGAACAAAAAAAAATTTAGTGACTAAATGTGAACAAATCGGAAAATATGTTACCCTTTTAAGTCATTATCCCTATAAATAACAGTTTGATTTTATTTTTTTAGATAAAAACGATTTATAGGTTTCAAAAAACAAACACCTAAATAATAATGAAAAAAAAATCCAAACTACGGTATAAACTATATAGATGTTGACTAATAGTGAGTCAAAATTGAGAAACACCATTCTCACGAGCGTACAAATAAGTGAATATCAATCTTATCGATCGATTAATTGATTCGATTTCGTTAAATCCGTTTCTTGCAAATGTTACGAATCAACATTACTCTCGTTACCCAAATTCATCGCCGTAGTATCTTCTCCTACACGTTATATCATCATAAGCTCTCGCCAATTGTAAGTTCGTCAATACCTCTGTATCATAGCTCTTTCAATGCATCCATGCCGAATTCGTCACTTAAGTCATTGGAATTTAGTCGCATTTCACTTCTGAGATTGTTTCGACAAATGGGTAATCGTAATTTGACACTGATTCACTCTTATAGTGGAGGTGGTAATGATGCATTTGATCGAACATCTGGTGGGCAAGTTTCACCTTTAAGTAGTGATGGTGAATTGGATGAAAAAGATGGTGATTCTGGTTCTGATGATACCGCTGTAGATAAACAACCTAAAGGATGTGTTCCAACTTCCATTGTTGGTGAAAATTTGTACAATATTATCATAGATTGTAAGCCTAACAACCCACAAAATAGTTACATGGAGAGGTCTCTTGACGAAGCTGGTGTTCAATTGACTACACCCTTGGTGATCGAGATTTTAGGGAGTCTTAGATATCAGGAGAATTTAGCTTTTCGGTTTTTCACATGGGCTGGGAATCAAGAAAACTATAGTCATGAACCTCAGGCATATAATGAGATGATCGATATCCTATCAAACACAAAATACAAGGCAAAACAGTATCGTATAGTTTGTGATCTTCTCGATTACATGAAGAGAAACAACAAAACTAAAGTGCCTATCGAAGCATTGTTAAAGATTCTGAAGCAGTATGCAGATAAGCATTTGACTCATCTTCATAAGTTTGCAAAGAAGAAAAAAGTCAAGCTTAAAAAACTCCAGCCAGAAATCGATGCATTCAACGTGTTAATAGATGCTTTTTGCAAGTCTTGTTTAGTTGAAGATGCTGAATCCATGTTCATGAGGATAAAGAACAAAGTCAAACCCAATGCTAGCACATATAACATCTTGTTTTTCGGTTGGTGTAGAGTGAGAAATCCTAAAAGAAGTATGCAAATACTTGATGAAATGATCCAAATGGGCCATACCCCAGAAAATTTCACCTACAACACTGCCATTGATACATTTTGTAAATCTGGAATGATCTCAGAAGCTTATGAACTTTTAGAGTTCATGAAAGAAAAAGGTACATTCATGTCTTCACCCACTGCTAAAACATATGCAATCATGATAGTCGCATTTGCACGTGAAAATAAAATGGATGAATGTTTTAAACTTGTTGATGACATGGCATCTAGTGGATGCCTCCCTGATGTTTCAACATATAGAGAAATGATTGAAGGGATGTGCTTAGCTGGAAAAGTCGATTATGCTTATAAATTCTTGGAAGATATGAAAAACAAAGGCTACCCTCCTGACATTGTTACATACAACTGTTTTCTAAAGGTTCTTTGTGATCATAAAGATAGTAAAGAAGCATGTAATCTTTTCAAGAAAATGATTGAAGCTGGTTGTGTGCCAAGTGTCCAATCTTATAACATGCTAATTATGATGTTTTTCAAGATTAGTGATCCGATTAGGGCGTTTGAGATATGGGATGGGATGGATATTCATATTCGTGATACTGATTCTTATTGTGTAATGATTGAAGGGCTTTTTGGGTGTGAAAGAATAGAGGATGCTTGTGGTCTTTTGGAAGAAGTTTTGAATAAAAATATGAAATTGCCTTATCAAAAGTTTGATACTTTCTTGATGCAACTTTCAAGAATTGGTGATCTTCGTGGTATTCATAGATTGTCTCAACACATGAGAAAGTTTTATAATCCTTCTATGGCGCGTAGATTCGCATTAAGTCAGAAAAGGAAGAGTGTTAGTTTAAGAGGGAAATGATCGGTTTTATGTTGAGTTTGTAGTTGATATTTGGGTATCCATTTGCATAATTTAAAGTTTGAACAAACTAGTTTTTCTCAAATTCCTATAATAGTGTTTGTAGTTTATTTGGAAATCAAGAATTTTTATAGTTGAATGGTGTTTTCTTAGGTGCAATATGTATTATCAAAGTTTCTCACTTGATTGTTGATAAATCGTTCGTTTAATTTTAGTGGAAAACTTGTCCATATTAGAACTTTCATGACTAAATGGGTAAATGAGTAAGTTAGAGATATTTCTTAACCTAAATATGACATAAACCCTTATAAAATCGTATTTCTAAATTCAAATTAACATTTATTTATAATACAAGTAAAAAATAATTGTGTGGTTTAACTTTTACTTGACAAACTAGAATATACTACTAATAGTTTCTAAAAGAGAAGGAATAATAACATGATAGTGACTTGTATATGTAAGTAATATCCGAATTTACCGATCAATGTCTTGAACGGGTACAAACAAAAGAATCAAAACATTAGGGATATGAAAAGGACCGTTGGTCACTATTTTTGGTGTTGATAAAGACTACCCCCACTAACTCTCTCATTGCAAAAACATAAAAAAGGTGAAAGTGGAAGTGAATTTATGTCCGATGAAATAAATAGTATCATGTGTATGCGTTTGATTCCTTTTTGTGTTAGGGAAAATGACATAAAAAACACTACGTTTATACGAAAATTCTAATTTGACACTGTGTTATTTTTTTTTTCAAATTTGATACTGTGTTTTCCAATTTGTTACAATTCTGACCACTTGACCGATTAACCCAGTTACTTGCTGACGTGACATGATGACGTGTCATTTTTGATGACGTAGGATGCTGACATGACATGCTGACGCATCAAAATTGAATTATTTTTTTCCACAAAAGACACTAAGTCTTCATTTTTTTTTTCGATTTTGACATTAAGTTTATTTTTTTTTTCAATTTTGACACTCTATTTTTTTGTACCAAATCGAAAATCATTTTTCCAATTTTGTTCAATGCTGATCATTTTCTATTTGAAACCTTATAATTATTTAATCGTAAATAAAAATATGTGTAAAATCTACAACAAAAAATAAAATAATATTTCATAAGTGATAATTGATAAAATTTTGTTATATTTATTTGAAGTTTATGGTTAGTTCGGCTCGCATTATATAACTAAAAAAAAGTTGAAGTTTATGTCACATCATATTTTTTGAAGCCACATAGGTTGGAGAGTATTGACATCCAAGTTGTAAAAATATAGGAATTGATAGTGTGTTACTTTAATAAGTTTTAGTTTAGAAAAAAGAGAAAAAAAATCAGCCAATAAGAGTCCACCATCCAAGTTTCTCTCATCTCTCCTCTCGTTATGCCTATGGCGAGCCTTGTAGCGCCTTTGATGGGGTGGTGTGTGGCGCCTCTAGTGTGCCTTGGCGAGGGTGCTAGCGAGCTCCACTCCCCAAAGCTTTAGTAGAGTCGATAATTGCTAAAACATTATATGTGTGTAAGTGTGTATTTTTGTAGTTGGAAAAAAGAATACTTTAATAATAAATAAGGTTATGTGCAATAGGCTCAAAAGTGGTATTTGAGTTTGTACAAAAACATTCATAATTTTGTTTATGGTTTATTGTAGGTTTATATATATATATATATATATATATATATATATATATATATATATATATATATATATATATATAAGATTATATACTCAATCCATAAAACTATTTAGTTTTGATTAGCGGTTTAATTTTCTGAAGAAAAAAACAATTTCCTTAAACAATACGTGTTTCCTCATTCACTAATAATAGCAAAACTCGATTTCTCCTTGATTTTCTGCTTTTATGATTAGCTGCTTCTATGATCGTCTGGTCATGAAAGAAAAAAATTGTCATACAATCACAAAAATGATTTCAAATAAATCGGAATTCTAAGAAATCGTAAGTCACAAGAAAAACAAAGAAGTTTCAATTCACAGAGATTTCAAAGAAAAAAAATCACAGAAAGCATGATTCACAGAACTTGATTCCAAGAAAAATCGTGATTCCTTTAAGAGCGCTTCCAAGTAATTTTTTTCTAAAACTTCATATATACGATATGTCCTCCTATAATTACATATTACATCATTGAATTTTAATTACTAAACAATGGTATGAAGGTGAACATGACTCACTGAATGATCGAGCTAGCATTTGTGTCTGAAAGTAGGATGTTTGCTAAATTTTTCGATGGTTCATTAGTCAAGATGTAATTTTTTTTATCCATGACCGATAGATTCCACTACATATTTCCAAACTTCTAATGCTAATGGTTGACCAGTTGCGTTCTTTGACCTCACACCACCTCCCATAATATAAATATGCTCTATATTTTTTCTTCAGGTGTGGATTTGACATAAGAAAGATTCCAAAATTTGTGTGTACTCCAGTTATGAATACACTAATGGGACCTTCAGATATGGTATTGATCATTACTTGTTGTGTAGTAGGTTGTCGAAGAGGTGAGTATCGCCTAGGTCCCTAGTATATCAGTCAATGATATCGTCTTTTAATAGAGTGTTGTTGTTGCATCCCCTGTTTTAATTACCTAATTTATTTAATTATTGTAATGCTTTATTCTTGGTTCTCATCATGATTTTACTTATAACGTTTCAATACAATTCTTAGAAAAAATTTAGTGTTAATATTTTATTTGGAAACATATTGTGGTGTTGTGCAGGCATGATGTTTGAAACCGAATCAACTAATCAATCTATAGAATCCTATATAAATGAAAATGTTGACACAAATGATTTCGTGGATGCAACATACGAATTAGAAAAACTTAACGATTTCGATGTGAATATTGAATTTGATGAAGATGATGTGAATGATGAAAGGATACTGGGAAAGGTTTTCGATACACCCGATGTAACATCTGCAAGATAGGGCTAGTCGATTAAAGAATCATAAGATGATTATTCGTTACGATGATTAAAAATATATTTTTATAGAAGATTATTTAGGATAAATAATCTAAGAAAAAGTCCTAGGTATCGTAAAACCAAGAGCGTACATATAGAGAACACTTAAATCTAACTTTGTGAGAGGAAGTTATGATTTTTTAAAGTTTCAGCGTAACAGTATACGACTCAGAAACCTAAATGGAAATCGGTCGATTTTTTGGAAAAACAATCTAAACGAGAATCGAATATCTCATTAATAGGAGTCCGCCGATATAAAGACAGTCGAGAACAGACATCGAACAAGAGAGTTATGAATTTTTAACGGACTTTAACAGTCTAAGCTTGTTGAAGAAGATTTGAATTTTTAAAGCTATGCATGGATATAAAGAACATCGAAAACAGAGCTCGTATGAAGAAGATTTGAATTTTTAAAGATTTATAAAAATTCGCGCACAACGATAGAGTGTGCGGCGTGCACTGACACACTACCCAAAATTGACCACGTGTCACCACCCAGACGACGCCACGTCAGCACCTTCGAACGACTGCGCAACGCGCATCGACCAAGTACGCGACGTGTGTTAGGCGTGTCAAACCCAACAAATAATAGGGGTAGGATATACTCCTAAGAACACTACTATGTTGCACTAAAAAATAGTACAAGGCAAGTAGGGTCGATCCACAGAGACACAAGATAAAAGTCTATACCTTTTTGCACAAGGTACTTTGGTCACAAAAAGGGGGGAGTTTTTAGTGCAATGATTAAACAAACAAATTGAAAGCACAAATAAGCAACTAAATGAATGAATTAGATTACAAGATTGCATTAAGCTCTATGTGAAAGTTCCCAACAACACCCAATGCTCCTCACAAGCTCGGGAGTGTAAAAGTGTATGAATAAGATTTACACTAGATTTATTCAAAGGAATTCAATTTAGTGTTTGTTACTTGTTCAATTTCACAAAACAATTACGGATTTTGTAAAAGAGATAACTTGAATGACCTAACCCTAATTCAAATGGCCAATGAGAATCACAATTAGAATCAAACATTCGATGGAAGTAAAATCAAATTCATTAGATAGAAATTGAAAACAAACATCATGTCATATGATTAAAATCACTGTCAAGAAGTCAAAACATGAAATTGGAGAAACTAGGGTTCTAGCCACACATGGATAGAACAAGATCACAAGTTTAAAAGATGGAAATAATGTGCAATTACAACTTACACATACTAGAAATAATGTTTCCAAATGATTACTGATCAAACCCTTGCAAAAACCTTCGAAATCGCCTCACAAAATGTGCTCTGATATGATGTGTGTATGTAAAAATGTCCCTCATCCCGTAATATGAAAGATAGGAAAAACTGCCAAAAGTTGGTTTTTGGGTCGAACACGGCCCGTGTCGAAATAGGCTAATGTGACATCCCCATTTTCAAGGCCAGAAAAGACCGATTTTTGTTTATGCTTTATAAAAATCAGAGTACTTCTTTTAATAAAAATGTTGCGGAATTTGTTCCCAGTAAAACATGATAAATACGTTATCAAAGCATTTCCGAAGAAATGTATTTTTATTCATTTCAAAACATTTGGGATGTCATTGTCAATACAGAAACATAAGCATAAACAGAACTTACATTCATTTACACTAGTGATCTATACCTCTTTAATCTCTCAGTGTAATGTAACTTCATATCGACATCTGTGATACAAATAAGCTTGAGTGGGTCAGGTTGGGAAACCTGGTGAGTACATATGGTTTTCAACCCACAATAATATAATTATTATGTTTAATCATCAAACAATTAACCCAATTACCCATCCCCATTATCGTATTTACTCTTAAGGATCTACCCTAAGAATCAGCTATCTCTTGTTCATTCATTCCTAAGGATCATCCTAAGGAATCGGCACGAAGTCCATCATCGCCGGGGTTTTGGCACTAAGTCTGCATAGTCGCCAGGATTTATACAACAGGCACTAAGTCCGCATAGTCGGCAGGGTTTATACAACAGGCACTAAGTCCGCATAGTCGCCAG